CACCCTAAAGAGTGATATAAGCCAGGGTTGGAGGGAGCTGAGGGGCTCTGTTCCAACCTCCAAAGAAAGAAGGGGAAGACTCTGTTCCTGGCCTCTCAAGAAAGGAGGACCAGAAGCTGAAAGAAGACAAGCAGCACCCAGTAGCCAACCTCTGCAGGAGGAAGAGAAGATGAAGACCTCTGTCAGAGACTGGGACTCCAGTCCTCAGTCTGACATCACCGGAAAGGAGCAAAGTCTCTGGGCCTCATGTCTGAAAGAGCTGTTTGTTGTTGGTGTTGTCCAGCAGCTCACAAAGAGCTTTTAACACTTGGTGTCTCTGACACAGGCTGGGATCCCAACTGAAAAGGGTAGTCACAGGGCATGAGGATGGGATGCCAGGATAGGCTGCAGTGGCACCCACCTGCCCAGGCTCTAAGACAAGAGAGCTGCCAAAAAGCCCCAAAGCCAAAACCAAGGGCTGGAGCAATACAGTACCCATACGATAGGGGCCTACAGGCTAGAGCCGATGGAAGGATAGTGCCCGGTAGGGGACTCATTAATGTGGTTCTCAACCGTGTGCACAATTGCAAGAGACTTCAGTCTGGAAACAACCACCTTGGGGGCCTCCCCTGGTGGTGCAGCGGTTGAGTGCTGGGCTGTGAAGCTGCTGCCTCTGCTGCCCGCAGCCTCTGCAGCGCGGGTTTGCTGGCTCGATCCCTGACCACCGGTGAGGGTCCCACATGGCGCGACAGACCTCTCCTGCCACCCGCTGCTCCCCTCAGCAATGTACTTCGGTCCTTCTGCCTATTCTGCTCCTTGCTCTGGCTCTGGTGAATTCTCTCACCCTCCCGCGCTTCTGACTTTACCCAGTGCTTATATAAATAAAAAAAAGAAAAAAGTTCTATTTGCAGAACTTCTAACCTCCTGGAACCCCCTGTGCAGAGTAAGCAGGTGCTCTCAGAGACTCCAGCTCCCTTTAGGGTGGCAGGTGCCAGCACACCAGCAGAGGACCTTACACTACTTCAAAGGAAACTGGCACCCCCCTGATCACTGCAGCACTATTTACAGTAGCCAAGCTGTGGAAGGGGTTGTACACAGATAATAGAATACTACTGATCAAGAAATATAAACTCATGCCATCTGGGGCAACATGGATGGAGCTAATAGACATAAGCCCAAAGGAGAAAGACAAAAAGGTCACTTAGATATGGATATAGAGAAATTAAACAAAGGGCTAGGTTAAGCTATCCCTTGAGTCTCCCAGGTGGTGCCTGACTACTGGCTGGGGCTGAGACCAGCCAAGGCTTCCTGGCCTGGCAGCACTGGATGGTGGACTGACCCTCTCTAGTTTGACATCAAACTCATTTGACGACAAAGCCTGACTCCTGCTGACTGAGTGCCCCATTGTCTTGTTTCACCTACACCACCACTGGGTCCCCAGCCTCTGCTGTTTGCTGGTTCTGAGATGGATCTTGTACTTGATGCTGCATGTAATTTTTTGTTTCTTTGTTTTTAGATTCATTTTTAATTTATTTATGCATACGAGAACTGGGATATAGGCCAGAGGTACAGAGGGTGAGAGGATTCACCAGACACAGAGTAGGGAGCAGAATAGGCCAATCCACTGAAATCCACTGCTGAGGGGAGTAGTGGGTGAGACAGGAGAGGTCTGCTGCCCCATGTGGGTTGCTCCCTGGCCAGGAATCAAACTCTGGTCTAAGAAGTGATAGCACTCAGACTTAAACCTTATGCCCCCACGGAGGCCCTGTTTTTATTTTTTTTTACATCTTTTGATATTATTTAAAATAATAGAAGCACTCCTACTGCTCTACTTTCATAATAAACACGCTCCAGCCCTTGGCTCAGGTCAGGTTTACACGTGTCTTTGTCACCTTTACTCAGTGTCCATCTCTCACGACAGGGCAAGCTCCATGTCTCCAGGGTCCTCTCTCTGCTGCCATTGTATCTGCAGGGGAGGCAGCTTGGGGAGGCGGGAGCCAACCAGGGAGAGGGATGCTGGCAAGTGAAGAGGAGACAAAGGCAGAGAACACTTGGGAGCTGCTCCCTGGTTCACTGAGAAAAGCATTTCTCAAAGTGTGGTTGTGGAACCCTTGAAGTCACCCAAAGCCTGTCACAGGAGCCACAAGGTCAAAACTATTTTCTAAATGTCACTTACACACCATTGGCTTTTTCACTATTTTGACATCTGCTGAGGTAAAACTTACTAAAAATGGAGCTTATATTACTAACTGCAGTTATTCTTCACAACTACTTACCTCAGAAACACAACTCCAAGCCAGTTTCATTTCAAAGTGTCTTGGTTGAAGCATTAAAAATTATCTTCATTATTCTGTCATCCTCAAATCCACATTTTACAGCACCTGATGCGATGACACGCAAGTGCACACACAACACTCCTGTTGCGTCCCCAACTACCATGTGCCAAGGAAAATATTTGCATGCGATGAATTAGACAGTTTTTTTTTTGTAGGCAATTACATCTGCACATGAAGGAATGAATGACAAAATCTGTGGCTATTTGATTCGGTTAATTAGACAGACATTGTCCTGAACATGAGTGTGTGCTCCTTTAAGAAAATCAACTGACAATTGCTAACTGACAGTCACTTCACCTTGACCAAATGCAAGTGCTCAGAAAAAAACAGAATCATGGAAAATTGTGTCCCATCACTAACTTGACAACTTCCAGTACTACTTTTACTTTTTGGATTTGTGGTGAAAAATAAAATAAATTCTTTAAAATAATTTGATTCCAGTGTAATGAACATTGAAGAGCTTTATAATTTGTGGAACAATATATTACTTTAAAAAAATCACACATTAAAACTAACTGCAGTTAGTTTTATGCAAGAGAGAACTATGGAAATGTAACTGAATAAGAAATATTTAATGATATTGTTTCAGGTTTCACTTTGCAAATAACCTGGGAGAAAATGCCAGCTGTATAGATTTAATTTAGTATCCAAGTGGAATATTCACAATAATGTGAAAACACTACTTCAACATATTTGTGTGAGGCTGTAGACATTTTTTCATAGACTTCAACCAGAACCACAGCTAAATGCAGAAGGAAACATGAAAATCCTACTGTCTTCTAATGAGACAGACAAGAAAAAACAATGAGACAGACAAGAAAGACAACTGCAAACATAAAACACGTGAAAGATCCACTCTTCCCATTGCCCTGATTAAAAGAAGTTATTTAACAGGCATTGGTTATTGATTATCTATTAACAGGCATTGGATTATTATTATTATTCTAAATGAAACAGCTACATGATCAAACTCAGCTTTATTCCCAGTGTGGTAAGTATGGGGAGCGATACCTCCTAAACAAGATTATACTTGGCGTCCTCCCTAATCTGTATGACTGGACACGGATCCGGAATGGAAAATGACTGAGAATCCCAGACCCAGCGCTTGGGTCACGGAGACAGGGTGAGGAAGCTTGGGGTGAGGAGAGGAAGGGGCAGAGCAAAGCCGCAGATACCCTAGTCTGGTTCTCATAGTTCCAGGCCCCAGGGCTGTGTCTAGGGCAGGAAGGTTACTGTTGGGGATACCCCACTGCCCCCTTAGCCTCCCTTCTGTCTCCACCACCTGTGCTGGGCCCTGGACACTTGTGACTCCTCCCCAGTTCTCAGTCCCAGTGCCTGGAGGTTCCCAGAGAACCAGTCAGCATCACTGCCTGCCCAGGTAAGTCTCCACCCACCAGGCTGGAGTCAGAAGCTCCCCAGACCCCAGCAGTGCTGGTCATGGTGTTATGGGACAGGGAGAGGGGCAGCCCAAACCCCGCAAACCTGCCTATTCTAAATGGGTTCTGCCATCCGCCGCATCAACACAAAACACATGAGACTAATGGGAAGGATCTTTAATAAAACTAGGAAACAATACAGGTAAGGCAAAGAGTCTAGTTTCTAAATGAAGCACCCAAAGTTACCCGTCCCCTCGTGGGTAAAAGTCCATCCATTTGGGATCGGCCCAGAGCAAGGCCCCAAAGCCTGCTACAAGTCTAAAGCATCTTCCAGTGGGGACCCACAGAAAAGGGTCACAAACAACCAGACAAGCCCAGAAGGAAAAGAGCAAAATCAACATCAAGATAAAAGCTGCCATTGTCACCTCCCCACGGTCTCACCCACATCTGTGTCACCCAGTCCACGACCAATAGGCAAGCGCAGTTTCTTCACGTGTCTCTAGGCTCCATGTGCCTCCTCCAGGTCTCCTGGCTCCATCCTGCTTCCTTCCTTCCTCAGTCTTTTCTGCAGCTTCTCCTCTTCCTGCTCAGCTCCACCCTCCCTTGGGTGGGGCAGGGAACCTCCCCCTTTCCTGGGGACCACCCTGTTACAGTTCGACAGCGACTCCCCGGGCCAGAGCGCGGAGCCGCGGGCCCCTGGGCGGGCGGGCGGGCGGGCGGGAGGGTCGGGCGAGGAGACGCGGCTCCGCAGACACTTGGCGCGGAGGCTCCAAGCGCTCCTGGAGGCCCCGCGCGGCCGCCGCAGCCAGAGCCGCCCCCGCCCCCCGCCCCGAGTCTCGGGGCCCCGTGACCCCCGAGGCCGTGGCCCCTGCCAGGCCTCTTGACCAGGGAAGAGCCCGCGGGACTTTCACCCTTTAGGTTTTATTTAAGTTCAGGATTATTCAGGGCGGGAGATCGGGTGCGGGCAGGAGACCACGGGGTGACTGAAGGCCGGGCTCAGGGTCTCCCACGGTCCAGAGGACGCTGGGCTGCGCCGCGGGGCCCGACGGCGCCTCCCCCGCGGGCACGACCAGCTCCCCACGAGGCGCCGGGGACGCGCCCTGGGCGGGGACCTGCGCGCCTGGACCCGGCGGGCCCGCGGCTCAGCTCCCCGGCGCGAGGGGGAGGGGGAAGGTCGGGCAGAGCAGGACGGGAGCAGCCTGGGGGCGGGTGCGTGGAGGGGCCCCCAGACTCCTGGGGATGGGGAAGGAGGCGCCGCAGCTCAGAGGTGAGAGGGCTGCGGGGCTTTGATCTCCCTGAGGCGCGCACCCCGCAGGGAAATGGAATCATGGTGAGGAAGCGCCCCCTTCTGGCCAGAGAGGGAGCTGTCGGCCACGTTTTCCAGCTCTGGGATGGAGACTGGCCCAGAGGCTGCTACTTTTTCTGTAGGACAGTTAAGGAATCCAGTTTCTCCTGAGAAAGAGGGGAGACCACCCCTGAAATCACCCTTCACAGGATCCTTTTGACCGGCAGCCATCTTAGGAACAATGAGTTTCTCTCTCGAGATCTTGTTTTTTGGTCAGAGAGCATTTTTGGAGATCTCCCTCCTGCCTGTCTGTGTCATCACCCTCCACCCAGGTCAGCAACAAAATGCTCAGAGACCTGCATCCCACCCAGGGCTCTCACCTGCTATACCAGACTCCCAGATGAGGCTGGTTTCTGGGGTTTGTGCCCCTCCCTCCATATTCACCGTTCTGTCCACTGCAGGATGATCACATGAGGCTGCTTCAGTGTCCATGGAGGAAACACAAAGCATGAAATTTCTGATTCTTCCCACTCAGGCCCCCAGTCGCCATATGTGACCCATCACCCCATCTCTGGGCATGAGGTCAACCTGAGGTGCTGCGCCCTGGGTTTCTACCCTGCGGACATCACCCTGGCCTGGCAGGGAGATGAAGAGGACATGGCCCCAGGAAATGGAGCTTGTGAACATCAGGCCAGGGAGGGGGGATGGAAACTACCAGAAGTGGGCAGCTGTGGAGGTGTCTTCTGGAGAGAAGCAGAGATACACATGCCATGTGCAGCATGAGGGGCTGATTGCACCCCGAGTCCTGAGAAGGAGTAAGGAGGGAGATGTGAGCACACGGCTGACTCAGGGGCATCAGAAGGATGCCCTTCTCCCTTCTGGAGACCTTCAGAGGGTCAGACTGAGGCCTCAGGTTCAGGGTCTGACCTTCTCTTCCCTTTCAGTTTCCCCTCCTCAGTTCTCCATCCTTGCTGTCGTCCTCATTTCTGGCTTGGTTTTCTTTGTTGGTGTGCTCATTGGACACAAGGTGGCTTCATGTATGAGGGGGTAAAAGAAGTTCTCAGGTAGGGAAGGGAGTGGGGAGATCTTGTCCACTGGGGGCTTTCATGTCCCAGGGAGAACTTGCCCTGCCTGGTTAATGGGAAGTACCATCCACACACGTGTGTTGCCCAGAGGGTATTTGGTTCAGTCCCCTCTCATCTCCTTTCTTCATTTTTCCCAGTCCTGACCTGGGTCTTTACTCACAGTTCTGGAAACTTCCCTGTGGTGCAGGATTAGATGATTCCTTTAGCCTTCTGACCTGACTCCTCCCTGGTCTCGCATGATACTTCTTCCCACAGGAGGACAAGGAGGAAGCTACACTCAGGCTGCAAGTAAGTGTGTTCAAGGGTTGGATCCTTGAGCCCCTGGGGACAGTGTAGATGGAGCCCATGGGGGAGTCACTCTCATCAGTTCCTTCTGTGGTCTCATCTCTGACCAAGTTTTGATGTGTTCTCCCCCACCAGCCATAGTCCCAGTGCTCTGAAGTGTATCTCAGACCTTAAAGGTGAGACCCTCGAAGACTGCTGGGGGGCTGGGGTTTGTGGCACAGTGGCTGGGACAAGATTATGGGGATGCTTTCAGGAGGACATCCTGAGAATGCAATGGACCATTGATATTGTTAACACTGAGGTAATTCACCTGAATTTCTTCATCATTATTTTCTTTCAGGGTATTAGACAGCCTTCCGTAGGCCTGAGTGTTACAGGATTTCTTTTCGCCCATATTGTGTGGCTTTATGATCCCCTGGTTTAAACCTTCACACCTGCAAGAACGGCCCATATCCAAAAGACCAGAAACAACAAGTGCTGGCAAGGATGAAAAAAGGGGACAGTCGTGCACTGTTTTTGGATAAAGACGGAGCCAGCCCTTATGGAAACAGTACTGAGGTTTCTTAAAGAGTGAATGTGGTTCTGCCATTGGACCCAGCAATTCTACACTGAGGATCTACTCACAGAGGATAAATACTCTCCTGTGAAGGGACCTGCACTCCTGTCACCACTGCAGCACTATTTACAGTAGCCAAGCTATGGGAACCACCTGAATGCCCCAGACAGGTGGGAAATTAAGAAGAAGCTGGCATTACACGTGTACATATATGTACATATACAGATGACTCCAAAGGAGATGAACATTGGGGTTGGGGGAGGGAGCTGTCAGGGGTGAAGATGCCACCACATCCTAGCAGGGGCCAGGCTGGGGGGAGGGGTCCTGCCCAGCTCTTTACATCTCAAGGCAACCATGAGATATTTCTAAACCTCCTCCTCTTCTTCAGGTCCAATGCTTTTTTAGTCCTGCTCAGAAGCTACTTCTGCATGGACCTGTATTTACAGAGGTGTTGTTCTGACACACTTTACTCTGTGTGCGATTTGAATTAATTTATTCTGGGGCTGGATGTTATTTGATTTCCCATCATCTTATCCTGCCATTCCTCTTACACACACACACACACCCACATACATACTCCCCTCTCCTTGGGAACTAGACCCTCACTCAGCACTGGGGTTACTCTGACCCTCTGTCTCTGGTTCCCCTCACAGCCGCCCTCTCTGTAGTGTCTCTACTCAGCAGTGTTTGAGCAGCCCCAGGAGTCCCTGCACCTCCTGCCTCTGACCTTGAGGGAAACCAGCCCCTCAGCCTGCTTGACAGTGAGGAGGTAAAGGCAAAGTCCTGAGGTCAGTGACTGATGGAGGAGACAATTTCTTTTTACCTTCACGGTATTATTCAATTGAGGTCAGCATTGGTTTACACACTGCATGTGTTGAGGCGAGGGTCACACCTCTTCAGATGTTTGTTACCACATCACACCCACACTAACGGCACCCACAGTCTTAACCATAGCCCATTGGGCCCTCTTCCTACTTTGTTTCCTACTCTTACCCCCAGCCCATAACTTCCATTCTGTAGTCATATATATAGAGTATGTTTTGGTTTAGTTTCATCTGTCCCTGCTTTGTTTCTTTATATTACAAATATGAAATCATCCAGTACTTAACTTTCCCCTTCAAACTTATTTCATTTAGCACAATCCCATTCATATCTATCCATGTTGTTGCAAATCCATTATTTCATCTTTTTCACAGCCGAGTAGTATTCCATTGTGTATATAGCTTGTGTTCTTTATCCCCTCATTTGCCGTTGGGCACTAAGGTTGTCTTCATCGCTTGGTTATGGTAGACAGCACTGCAGTGACCATAGGAGGCACATATTCCTTGGAATTAGTGTTTTTACCTTCTTTGGATAAATACCAAGGAATGGGATGCTTGACCATGTGACAGGTCTATTTTGAGGAACCTTCATTTTTTTTTTTTTCTATAGGGTCAGGACCAATGTGCTATCCATAGAAAAGAGAGGTTCCAGGTTACCGCCCTGCCCAAGGAAAGGTGGGGCTGAGCAGGGACGAGAAGCTAAGGAAGAGGAGGAAGACGTGGAGTGAGATGAGGAAAGGACTGGAGGAGGCGCATGGAGCAGAGAGACAGGTGAAGAAGAAACCACACTTGCTTCTCACTTGGACTTGTGCCAGGGAGCTGGGGACTTGGAAAGAGACACGTGAAAGACAAAAACGTGAATGAGAGACCCATCGGGAGGCTGACCCTTTCCCATGGGTCTCTACCAGTAGGTGCCTTAGCCTTGTGGCAGGCCTTTGGGCCCCAGTGGGCCTGCTTTGTGCCAAGCCTGTTTGGCTGGGCATTTACCCATGAGGGGACGGGTAACTTTGGGTGCTTCACTTGGGAAATATTCTAACTATATTCTTTCTCTTCTCTCTCTCTACTGCACTGATTCTCTATTTTATAGTAATTATATTAAAGTTCTTTTCCATTGAAGGTCTTATGCTTTAGAGTATGTTTTGTCTTTATACAGCTGTTGGCAGATCCCATATAGAGTGTGCGGTTTTCAGGGTCCAGGGAACCCCTCATTCTGCCCACTAACAGGATCAGACATCATTCCCACCCACCATGTGCCAGAGTTCCTTTTCTTCCACACCCTTCAATGGGCCATTCTCACAGTGTGAGGTGGTAAGTCATTATGGTTTCAATTGGCATTTTCCTGACCGCACATGACCAGCATTTATCCATGTACCTATTGGCCACATGTGTGTCTTCTTTAGAAAAAGTACCTATTTAGCTCCTCTGCCCGTTTTGAGTTGTTTCTTGTTTTGGAGTTCTTTGTAGATTTTGGATATTAACTCCTTGTTGGATTGATGATGTGCAAATAGTTTCTCCGATTTGATATTGTCCTGTCATTTTAATGCTAGTTTCCTTCACTATGTGGAAGCTTTTTAGTCTGATGTGATTCTATTGGTTTCTTTTTGCTTTTGCTTCCTTGGAGCACAGAAGGCATTATGGGCAGTGAAAATACTCTGCATGATATTCTCATGGTGGACACAGGTCATTATACATTTGTCCAACACCCTGAGAATGGACAACACCAGAGTGAACCCTGAGAGAAATCATGACTTTGTGACTGTGACATGCAGGTCCATCACTTGTAATTAACGTGTCAGTCTGGTCTTAACATGTGATTTAGACATGATGTATGAAGAGTTTTATAAATTGAGGAATAAAGTGTAATTTACTTTAGAAAGCATATTTCATGCTCATACAAGGACATTTAAACAACACTCAAGGATAAACATAAGTCATTCCCCTCCATCCCCAAGACCCCAGTCAGCCAATGTCTGCTCAAAACCAGTTAGCAATTTATCTTTTCTCTTCTAATATATCTCCATGCGCCTGTCTGGGCAATAGTGTTTGTTTTCCCATCAGTAAAGGATTTCAGGTCAGAGAGTGGGGGGAAACATTTGCAAATCACAAATCTGATAAAGGACTGTATCTACAAATAATGCCTAAAACTCACTGATCAGAAAGAAATAACCCAATTTTAATAAGGACAAAAATAATGTAATAAATGAATGGCACCTCATCTGTAAAAATGTACAAAATTTCCTTACAAACAGCAACTTTAGTCATAGAAAAGTAAAAATATGAACAGATGCTCAATATCATAGTTAAGAACAACAGTGATACCATCACACCTAGGAGAGACTGAAAATGCAAATGCTGAACAATACCAGGTGCTGTCCAGGGTGTGCAGAACAGGAATCTCATCAGGTTCATTGTAAAAGATTCTTAGGGGCTGAGAGACACATCAGAGCCCTGGGCACTGCTGCTGCCGGGTTGAGAACAAAACACACCTGGTCAGAAATGAGACCACAGGAGGGAGTGATGAGGGTGACTCTCCCATGGAGTCCATTTACACTGTCCCCAGGAGCTCAGAGATCAAACCGCTGATCCACACTTACCTGCAGCTTGAGTGTAGATTCCTCCTTGTCCTCCTGTGGGAAGAAACATCATGTGAGACCAGGGAGTGGTCAGGTCAGAAGACCTAAAGGAATCTTTTAATCCTGCAGATCAGGGAAGTTTCCAGAGCTGTGAGTAAAGACCCAGGTTAGGACTGGGAAAAAAATGAAGAAAGGAGGTGAGGGGGACCAAATGCCCTCTGGGTACCACACATATGTGAGGATGGTACTTCCCATTAACCAGGTAGGGCAAGTTCTCCCTGGGACTTGAAAGCCCCAGTGGACAAGATCCCCCCACTCCCTTCCCTACCTGAGGGTTTCTTCCTCCACATCACAGCTGCAGCCACTGCAGCTCCAGTGAGAACAGCTCCAAGGAGAACCAGGCCAGCAATGATGCCTGCGGTGGGCATGAAGGACTGAGGGGGCACTGGAAGGGAAGAGAAGATCATACCCTGAGCCCCAGACCTTATTGTGACCCTCTGAAGTTCTCCAGAAGGGCTCCTGATGGCCCTGAGAACAGCCTCTGTGCCCACATCCTCCTCCTCACCCCATCTCAGGACTTGGGGCTCCAGCAGTCCCTCATGCTGCACGTGGCATGTGTATCTCTGCTCCTCTCCAGAAGGCACCACCACAGCCACCCACTTCTGGAAGGTTCCATCTCCCCCAGGCCTGGTCTCCACCAGCTCCATCTCCTGGGTCAGGTCCTCCCCATCTCGCTGCCAGGTTAGGGTGATATCCGCAGGGTAGAAGCCCAGTGCCCAGCACCTCAGGGTGACCTCATGGTCATTGTAGGGGTGGTGGGTCATGCGTGTCTTTGGGGGATCTGAGGTGGTAAATCAGAAAATTCACTTTGTGTTTCCTCCATGGACACTGAAGAAACCTCATGAGGCCATCCTCACAATGGACAAGACAACCGGTGTGGCAGGAAGAAACATAAAATGTAAAAAACAGGCTAATCTGGGGGAATCTGTGAGATTCTCTTATTCCTTAGAAAGTTCTAGAATGAGGATGAAAACCCAGGGTAGGATGAAGCAGAGGGAGTGGAACACAGACTTTTTATTCCTGACCTGGGTGGAAGGTGAATGACACAGAAAAGCAGGAATCACATAACTGACAATGTTCTCAGACCAGAAACAAGACTGAGAGAGAAACTGGTGGTTCTCAAACAGGCCCCTGGTCAAAAGGACCCGGTGACGTGTGATGTCAGGGACTGTCTTTCTCAGGAGAGACGGGATCCCTTCCCTGTCCTTCAGGAGAAGCCGGAGTCTCTGGGAGTCTCTCTAGTGCAGAACATGAAACCCAGGGGAGTCCCCCTCTCAGGACTAGAGAGAGGACTCATTTCCCGCAGTGACTCCAGGCAGGGGGGGACCGGGAGGCCTCCAGGCCCCTCTTACCCGTGCGCTGCAGAGTCTCCTTCCCGTACTCCAGGCATGTGCGCAGCCACCTCAAGCACCTGCCCTCCACAAAGTTCCTGAATCTCTCTGCCTCACCCCGGGCCTCCCACTCGCGCAGGGTGATCTGAGCGGCCGTGTCCGCTGCAGTCCAGGAGCGCAGGTCCGGGTTTAGGGCCAGGAAATCGGTGCCATCGTAGGCGAACTGCTCATACCAGCCGAGGAGGCGCCCGTCGGGCCCCATGTCGCAGCCGTACATGTTCTGGAAGGTGTGAGAGCCTGTCCCTGCCCCGTCACCCCACCCGCACCCCCTCCCGCCCGGAATAAACTAAAACAAAATGAAAAGGGGGTGAAAGTCCCGCGGGCTGTTCCCGGGCAGGTTGCAGAGAAGCCTGGAGGGGGAGACCCTGAGCGACCCCCGTGGGTGGGGATGGGGGTGCTGACCCGGCCCGGACCCGCGCCAGCTCACCGGTCTCGCTCTGGTTGTAGAGGCCGCGCAGGGAGTCCAGCTGCGCTCGGAACCACTGTGCGCTGTCCCTTAGGATCCGCGTCTCCTCCTCCCACTCCTCCTGCTTCTCCTGCTCCACCTGCCCCGCCCAGGGCGCCAGCGGCTCCGCGCTCTGGCCCGGAGAGTCGCTGTCTAACCGCCCGACCTGCGTGTCGTCCACGTAGCCCACCGAGATGAAGCGGGGCTCCCCGAGGCCGGGCCGGGACATCGCGGTGGAGAAAAACCTCAGGGAGTGGGGGCCTGGGGGCGGGAGGGGAGACCCGGCCTATTCTTCTCCCCTTCGGGGGCTCGAGTCCCAGGGGGCGCCCACGAGACAGAAAGTGGGTGAAAGACGAGTGAGAGTGAAAAGCGGCTGCGGGACGAAAATGGCCGGGACTCGGGGGGCCAGAGGAGGCTGGGGTCTCGGGGGACGGAAAGGGGCCAGGACGGGGCGGGCCGAGGTGGGGGACAACTAGGGCGGCGGCGAGGTCGCGCCTTTCCCACCCCCGCCCGCGCCCTCGCTCCCGCCTCTGGGAGCACCCTGTCCCCTCCCGACCCGCACTCACCCGCCCGGGTCTCCCTCGGGGCCGCGGCCACCGCGAGCAGGAGCAGGAGGGCTGCGCCCCCCATCCCCCAGGACGCGCCCCCACCCGGGCTGGGGAGACGGAGTCCCGGGGGTGGGTGAGGGCTTTGGAACGGGAGCCGCGGGGCTGCTGATTGGCTGCTCCGGAGACCTCCAGGCAATGGGGAGTGAGCCCTGGGGTGAGTCACCAGTATCCAGGAGGGAGGAGACGACACAAACAGAGAGCGAAACTGGGGTGATAGGAAACCCCAACAGTAACTTCCAGCCCCAGACAGCGCCCTGGGGACTGAGACTGTTACTGAGCAGCCCCGATATAAAATGAGTTGCCTGACTGTGGGTCCCTACCCGCGCGCTTAAAAGGGACTTATTAATACTCCACTGCAGGCACACACAAAAGGTTAACAAAAGGCTTATTTACAAGGGAAAGGGAAATGAGGAAATGTCCAACTCAGGGAGAAAATAGGGAAATAAAGTCTTTAATGCGTCCCACCCGATCCGCAGACCTGGAAACCCAATGGCACTCTGAGAGCTGGCCGGGCAAAGCGAGCTGGTGGAGAGCCAATATGGGGGCCCTCCAAAGCCCACATGTCTTGTTTTATACCAAACCTGGCTGCTTAACCCCACCCTCAGGTTCCAGCAACCTTCCCTTAGGTGGTGACAGGATTTGTCTTTCCCAATGTCCTGATGGCTTTGGTCTGGAGTGGGGGTGGAGTCCACAAAGCCTGCATGGGATTAGCTAAGGACATCCTTTTCCCCTCAACAAGACCTTGAGAGCCACACCCCCAATCCCACCCCCGCCCAGACCTGGGACTTTGCTGCCCCCTCCTCTCCTGTACCAAGACCTTTGTCACACTGTTGCCTCCCTGAATCCAGGTCCAGGAACTGGGTCAGCAATTCTCAAACATTTTCCTTTCAAGATGTCTCTGCAGTCTCACAAATTATTATGGATCCCATGTATAATTTTTTATGTGGGTTATAGCTTTAAATATTTACTTTACTAGAATAAAACCTTTCAAAAAGATGTTATTATGCTGGGAGCCATGCTACAACTGTCGTCTGACAAGGGTCGGGGCATGGGGCAGATTCCTGAAAAGTCAGGAATCTCTTTAGCTGACTCATGCTAAGTCTCATTTGTTTATGGCTAGTTTCTACCATTGTTAAAATACACATTTAAAAGCAAAACTGCAAATGCTGTTTGATCAATTACAGAATAACCAATTTGACAGCAAATGGCGCATGATTCATTGATAACACTGGTTAGTTAGCATACAAATTCTAGACACAGGAAAAGGGGAAGGATGCAGATCTTTGAGACTGGCCCAGGAGAACAACCAGCCTAGCAGGCTGCCAGGCCTTGTTTAGACATGCTTGTTAAGGAAGCAAGCTTGTCTTTTACTGACATTTCCATGTCTATGGCTCTTTACAGGGAAAGATTCCCTTTTCCTTAACTGTTCCCTTTCAGTGACAATGGGTATGGTAGCTGTTGGAGTATGCATTCAAGAGTAAGCCAACAACAATTTTGTGACTGGTTAAGCTAATAACCTTGACAGCACAAATAATGCACTTGGAAATAGTCAATGTTACAACTACTGATATGTCACGTATTAACCATTCTGAGAACCAAAAGCTATAACCATCTCTGGCCCTGCCTCTGATGAAATATTTGTAGTTCCTTAAAACAACAATCAGCAATCTTACAGAAAAAGGAATTTTCCCTTGATCTTAAAGTTAGATATGTAAACTAGGCTGAATAAATAAGTAGAGGAGTAATAGGTTAGATTCTGTTAGATTAGGAGAATTCCTCCCTTAATTGAGAGCTTGGGGCTAGTGAAGAGTCAGTGTGGCTTGTCTGGCACTGATGCCCTCCATGCCCTTGGTGCCTTAATATTGAATCAGTATTTTATTAAAACAATATACTATTAGATGATGATTTCTATATAAAAGCCTTGTGTTTTTTGCTTTAATCATATTGTTACAAAGCAGCCCCGATATAAAACGGGTTGCCTAGCTGTGGGTCCTCATGTTAGGGGGAATGGATATCCTGAGCTAATCCCATACAGGCTTTGTGGACTCCACCCCCACTCCAGACCAAAGCCATCAGGACACTGGGAAAGACAAATCCAGTCACCACCTAAGGGAAGGTTGCTGGAACCTGAGGGTGGGGTTAAGCAGCCAGGTTTGGTATAAGAACGTTGGGGCCTTGGGGCCTTGGGGGCTCTTGCTCTCTTGCTCCCTCCTGGCTTCAGAGCTCCTGGCTCATGCCAGCTCTCAGAGTGCCATTTGGAATTCCAGATCAGCGAATCGGGTAGGACACATTTAAAATTTTGTCTCCCACTGATACCGGAATTGTCAGGTCTAGTCTCCCAGCCAGGAACGGATCCCAGGCTGCAGAGCAGCGCTGAGCCCCAGCCACTAGACCCCCCAGGGTTGCTGTCTCACGAAGCCGCAGCAGGAACTTCGCAGATGCTCAGGCAAGCAAGCGAGAAGAGGCAGGTTCGTTTATAGAAAGAAAAAGTTTATTGAGGAGGAAAAGAGCAGAAATAAAGTGGGACTCCCAGGCCAGGGAACCAGGCCTGGGAGGGGCAAGGAAGCCAAAGTGGAATTGTGTTTCAGGGAATATATACCTTTTTTCCCTCATTATTCTAAAACTTCACCAGTCTCTCTGTGATTGGTTAGTTTTCGGCTGTCTCACTTAATTTGCTACTGAGTGGGGATCTTCACATTCCTTATCTAACAGCTTTCTCTTTCCCCATTTGTTGCATCTTTAATTTATGGCCCAGTCCTCTGGATGGGCATCCCTGCATTGAAGTTAAACAGCTGCCCTTCTAATGTGACCATAAATTAAACCACTCTCCATTTCTCCAATCTCTGCCTCCCTTTACCACCTGAAGGAAACCAGGACCAGCATTAACAATGTTGTCCTTGGTCCTGGCATGTTTGTTTTTCCTAATGGAATTGGTTATATTTCTTTGGTTGTCCTTATCTCTGAAGCCTCCCTAAATTCTTCCGAGGTCCCCTCCTGCACTGTCCCTAAAACTGCCTAATAACCCTAGCTTGCCCTGTCTCACCACTTTTCTCCCTGAGTTGTATATTTCCTCATTTGCTCTTCCATTAAAAATAAACCTTTTATTAATCTTTCATGTGTGTGCCTGCAGTATTTTTTTTTTTAGATTGTTTTTATTTTTTTATTTATTTATACAAGCACTGGGTACAGTCAGAAGCGTGGGAGGGTGAGAGAATTCACCAGAGCCAGAGCGGGGAGCAGAGCAGGCAGAAAGACGGAAGTACACTGCTGAGGGGAGCAGCGGGCGGCAGGAGAGGTCTGCGCGCCATGTGGGACCCTCCTCAGGTGACCGGGGAGTAGCCGGGGATTGAACCAGCGCTGCAGAGGCTGCGGGCAGCTTTGCAATCCAGCGCTCAACCACTGCGCCACCGGGGAGGCCCGCCTGCAGTAGAGTATTGATAAGTCCTTTTAAGTGCCTGGGTGAGGACCCACAGTCAGGCAACCCATTTTGTATCCGGGCTGCCCTGAAACATTCACCTGCGCGCTTCTAATGCTCCAGATTTTTTTTTTTTCTTTTGGCTTGGATAATGGACTATTTTCCAGTAATGGAAAACTGTCATACTGGACATTCATGGACAATGCTGCTGACTAATTGTTGCTTCTCTTACACACATTGTAACCCTGAAAAAAGACTGTCTCCTAAGACTACACCCTGAGATCTGTGCCACCATAGATATGGTGGAATAAAAATTAAAAGGGGTGATTGTAACAGGGTGGTCCCCAAGAAAGGGGGAGGTTCCAGGCTCCCTGCCCCACCCAAGTGGAGGGTGGAGCTGAGCAGAGAGAGAGGAAGCTGCAGAGGAGACTGAGGAAGTAAGGAAGCCTGATGGAGCCAGAGGAGGCACATGGAGCCGAGAGACACGTGAAGAAACTGCACTTGCCTTTTGGTCGTGGACTGGGTGACACAGATGTGGGTGAGAGACCCGTGGGGAGGTGGCAATGGCTGTTTTTATCTTGATTTTGATTTTGCTCTTTTCCCTCCAGACTTGTCTGGTTATTTCTGATCCTTTTCTGTGGATCCCCACTGGAAGATGCTTAAGACTTGTGGCAGGCTTTGGGGCCTTGTTCTGGGCCAATCCTGCTTGGGTGGACTTTTACCCACGAGGCAACGGGTAACTTTGGGTGCTTGATTTAGAAACTATATTCTTTGCCTTTTCTGTATTTTTTCCTAATTGTATTAAAGTTCCTTTCCATTAAAGTCTCATATGATTTGTGTTCATGCAGTGGATGGCAGAACCCATTTAGAATAGGCAGGTTTGTGGTGTCTGGGCTGCCCCTTTCCCTGCCCTGTAACAATATGGTTATATGTTAGTCTCAACTTTATAGGTTAGTTAGAAAAAATCCCTGTGTCTCCCTTCCCCCAGGTAACTTCCTGTCCTTTGTTTCCCCAGCCCTTAGTTAATCCTTCACTGTAGTAAATACAGAAATGTTAGTCTCAGTCAGGTAAGTTTTTGCTAGTAATAAAATGATTAAGATAAATAACTATTCTAAGAACACTTTTGTTTAGCAACTGTGCCTTCTTCAAAATAAAGAATGTTACAACATCTGCTGAAGGGCAAATAACCCCCTGGCTGTTCTAGAGGAAGATGTGATGATTGTTATCTTCCTGCTCTAATACATATGCTTATGTGCTCTGGGTTTGCTTGTAAGGTATAAATAAAGGGGTGCTGAGACCCTCAGCAGGATGATGTCTGCACCCTGATCAAGTGTTTGCATCTCCTCACTCCCTCTCCCCCTAACCCCTCAGATTTGTCCATGCCCTCTCATCCTTACAGGAACCCCTCACAGGACAGTCTGCCGAGGCTGGTCCCTGGCATTATTACTTCTTTACTTTAGAATATTAATAACCAATGTATGCTAACAAAGCATTTTTAAGAAAATAACTTTCTGTAAATGTAAGGATAATTGTATAATTGTATGATTTTTTTTTTAAAAAGTTACCTATTGTTTCACTACTGAAAGGTCCATGCAGGAGGCCTGAATACAAAAACCCACCAGAAAGCCCACCTGGGA